GAGATTTGGAACAGAGCCTTGCGTGTGTCACGTACAAGTGGAAACAGTTATCAACAGAATGAATTGAACCGCATCAAACATGATTTGATGCTGTCGACTCCGAACGTGAAGAAGTCATCCGAATCAAAATGGAATACAAAGTTTAGCTGAAAAAATACACCCCCCCGGCCCGGTGTGTAATTTCGAATAGAGGTGTACGAATGTAGCGTCCAAAGTGGAAAACAGCTATCAAGAGAAAGAATTGAATTTTGTTTTTTTAAAACTTTTCACCCCAAGCAAGGCGGGAGTGCAACTAGAACGCAAAGGGTTACAGAAAGTGGGAGCAAGATTAAAGAGGTGTGAAAGAGGAAAGGGTGAAGAGTAGGACGGGGAATTAGACCAAGGCATCTGGAGATGTCGATTGACATTGCATTTGAATAGTTGGAGATTATAGCTACCAGGGAAGCAAATAAGAGGAAGGGAGTTCCACAGACGGGAAGTGCGAGACATAAAGCTATTGGAGTGAAAGGGTGGGATTTCAAATTTACTATTAATTGCTACTGTCGGTTTCAGTGGGAGACCAGCCATCGAAAATCGAACTGAAAGGCGTAATCCAATCATAACTGGAATCGATCATTAATGATGGAATACATAGTTTGATTAAAAAGTAACTTTTTGCATCATAGAAAGTCGAAGGAAATAGACTGACCGCTGAATGCTGATGATATGAGTTTATATGAGTAAAATATTTTGTTATAAAACTCTGGAATTTAAAAAAAAAAATAACCCTATTTAATACACAAATTAGTTGAAAACTAGGCTAAGATCCTCAAAAGTTAAGGAAAATGACGGAATAATGACGCCATGAATTTCTCAGAATTAAAGAATAAATAAAAACAAAACGTGAATCGGAATGGGTTGGAATGTATGTGTAATGGCAAAAGTACGCATGTAGAGGCTTTAAGAAAGCTCCATTCAACTGAGAATACAAGGTTCGCGTAGAGTGTCCTTTTATAGTCCCAGTAAACACAAATAGCTCTCTCAAAGAGGAGAGTAACAAAGCAAGGGGAGACAACACTTAATTATTCATAACACTACATTCGAAATCCGATACATAGACAGATATATTTACAGAAACTGATAGATAGATATGAACTCACTGAGATAGATAGATAGATAGACAGATAAAGTATGAACATAGATATATATGAACAGATCGATACGAAATCAGATAGATATAAGGATATTTAAAGAAAGAAAGAGCGAAAGTGAGATAACGTGCTACCTGTAATGACAAAAGTATGCAGGTGTAGGCTTTAAGAAAGCTTTATTCAACTGAGAATACAAGGTTCGCGTATAGTGTCCTTTTATAGTCCCAGTAAACAGAAATAAATCTCTCAAAGAGGAGCGTAACCAAACAAGAAGAGACCACACTTGATTATTCATAACACCACATTCGAAATCCGATAGACAGACAGCTATATTTACAGAAACAGATTAGATAGATAGATAGATAGATAGATAGATAGATAGATATGAACTCACGGAGATAGATAGATAGATAGATAGATAGATAACGTATGAACATAGATATATATGAACAGATAGAGAGATACGAAATCAGATAGATATAATGATAGATATTTAAAAAAAACAACGCGCGAAAGTGAGATAACGTGCTACATGTAATGACAAAAGTACAGTATAGGCTTTAAGAAAGCTTCATTCAACTGAGAATACAAGGTTCGCATATAATGTCCTTTTATAGTCCCAGTAAACAGAAATAGCTATCTCAAAGAGGAGAGTAACGGAACAAGGGGAGAGCACTCTTGGTTATTCACAACAGTATCCATCTTTGAGTGTTTCTTACATGGGTGTATGTGTGTTTGTGTGTGTCTTTAGTAGATGTATGTATGTGTGTATGTGGGGGGGTATCTGTGTTACTGTATGAAAGAAAAAAGGCAGGATTTTATACAATAACGAAAAGACGAAATCGGTGGACTGTTTTTGATTTGACACGCTTAAACACGGACGCGTTGGTTTATTTACAACGTAAAATGATCCCATCAGGGAAAAGCTTAATTTAACAGATGTTGATATTAATATTTGATGAAATTCAGCTGATAAAATTTCGAGGATTTGGCATATCAATTTTCATCCACGGACATCCCACTCTACCCCCCCCAAAAAAACCCCCAAAAAACAAAAAACAAACTAAAGCCTAAATATAGTTCTGAAATGCATATTTAATATGCCTTTCCCGCAGACTGATCCGATAACGTAGTCAGTTCCAACTTGACTTGGAACTCGTTTTGTGTAGCCTTGTGCGAGATTTAGTAAATAATCGGTTGTCATTACTTATTCATGCTTAGATTCAAGAACGTGACCTAATTTTGAAAAGAAATCAATCAAAAAGTAAAAAAAAAAACAACTCACTTAACGACACCCTTTTTTTTTAACGATACCTGGACTTATGACTCGTCATGACAATTATGGGCAAGTTTTTTTTTTGGGTGGGGGG